AAGCTGACCATCAGTTGCACTGACTCTGGGGCCTCCCTGGAGGTGCAAAGTTAGCTAATGCCTCTGCCCCACCTGGGGTCACCAAGCCTAAGCTACAGAGCAATCTGCAGATGGCTGCTACTTGTGTTGGGCATGGAGATGCCCAGAGGAGGCCAAGCTATGAACCAAGGTGGACTACTACTAGTGCCCAGCCTGGGGCAACTTATTGAGAGGTATAGGGCACACTGAGACCATTGTTTGACAGATTTCAGAAAAGTCTGAAGCCTGAGGCAAGAGAAGCCAGTTCTATGGAAAAGCCACTGGAAATGGCTTGGATGAGCCTGCAAGTTGGGTAGAGCAGAGTCGCAGGGAGTCACCAGGGGCCAGGTGAACAGTATGAGCCAGGTTGATAGCTCTGTGATGAGGAGGGCTCAGCAATGGAACAATGACTTCTGCCAGCAGTTCTCTCCAGGACAGCGGTTCTCAACCTGTGGGTCACGACCCCTTTGGGCAGTGGTTCTCAACCTTCCTAATGCTGCGAACTCTGAGGCATCATCCTCTTGATGGTTATGCACTGGTTGAGGAGACAGCGAATGAAAAAAAAGTCATGGATAAGGGCAGGAGATGTTAAGTGCAAAGACACACCATATAGATCCTCTGTGAGGATATAGAATTTGAGAGAACATTCCAGAAAGCTGAGGGAAGTGTTTTCCTCCTGAAGGCAGCACACAGCCCAGCACAGAGTCTCGGGAACACCAGGGAACTCATTTCTGAAAACCAGTGGACAATGGTTGCAGGATGAGTTAACAGGGTCAAACTTAAGAGTTTGTGTGTGGGGGAGGCTCCACACCACAAACAATTCTCCAACACCACCCTGGTGTCCTCAATTCAACTCAGTTCCAACACTGTCTACTGAAGAAGCATCAGCTTCCATAGGTTAAAGGCTTCATCCTACTAGATACTCCCACCCCTGTCTCCACTTCAGACACCAGTCACAAGTCCAGGCTATCACCTGTGCTTCTACCCAGCTTCTATAGATCAGAGAGTCCCACCACCCCTCCTCGGGTCAGATTGCTTTGCTAGAGCACCTCACAGGACTTTGAGAAACAGTCTATTCACTAGATCACTGATTTATTATAAAAGGATATAACTCAAGAACATCCGATGGAGGAGATACACAGACTGGGGTGGGGGAGGGGTGGAGATTCCATGTCTTCTCCCAGAGTATCATTCTCCCCACTTCTCCAGGTGTCAGAAGCTCTCAGAACCCCACCTTCTGGGTTTTATGGGGACTTGGTCAGATAGGCATGAAGGATTAAACCATTGGCCACTGGGGGTGATTCAACTCCAGTCCTTGCCCCTCCCTGGAGGTCAGAGATAGGGACTGAAAGTTCCAACCCTTTAATCACATTATTGGTCATCTGGTGACTAGCTTCCATCTTTAAGTGACCAAAGGGCTTTTCAAAAGTTGGTTCTTTGGGAGAGAATAAAAATGGTGGCAGAGTAAGCAGATGCTACACAACATGCTTCCAGGACCAAACTGGAATTACAACAAAAATACAAAAAAAATATCTTGAATAGTCAACTGAAGACTGGCTGGAGAGAACCCTGATAACCAGGGATGGAAAGTGGAGACCACATAGAAACTGGTAGGAAGAGTGGAGGCGTGAAAAGGCTGGTTTGGCTCCTACAAACAGCAGCTGAGTTTCTCAGAGATATTTCAGTTATGGGGAGTTGACACTGAGAACTCTGGGGTCTAATCCCCAAGCTGGGCTCCCCAGCAGAAAGCACCAGAACTGAGAAAGGTGTTACATAATATCTCGTTGTGAAAAGCAGTGGGGTTGCTGTCTGCCAGGGAGAGATGGCTGAAAATGCAGGCACTCTCTTAAAAGGACAATGCACAAAATTGCATTTGCAGCCATTCACCTTGTGCTCTGGCAGAGGAAGGGCAGAGTGGACTAGAGCTGTGTGAGCAGAAGCCAGGGTTGGAGGTTCTGGGGTTAGAGCTCAGAATGCAGAACCCTCTATTTCCTGTACTGAGTCATCTTTCTCATGCACACATTTGCTATCCAGGCAATCTTGCCTCGGGGGAAGACCATCAATCTTCCCTATTGTAAAACACCTTGCCCTATGGTATGGAGTTTTTGAGGCCCATTATGACACTGAGAATAACAATTAGCTTCCAGGCAGAAGCAAATGCTCCACCTTATTGGTAAAACTCTTGCCACGCCTGTGGACGATTGCCTGAGGGCTATTCAAGACTAAATTCAAACAGCATTTGACACTATCCTGTACTAGAGATTGAGAGATGGAGCAGATATACCTAATACACAGTCACAAACCCAAAAAGGCATCCCAAATGAGACAAATAAAACCCCAAAATGAAAGAACAAGAGAATTATCCAGAAGAAGAGAAAAATAAAAAGGAGATAAGAAATTTATCTGATACCAGAGACCTGGTGCACAAAATTCCTGCACTCAGGGGCTCCCACAGCCGGGCCCGGGCCCTCTTGCAGTCTGGGAGCCCTCAGGGGATGTCAGACTGTCGGCTTAAGCCCGCTACCCATGGGGAGTGGGCTTAAACCAGCAGTTTGACATCCTTAGCACTGCCACGGAGGTTGGAGAGGCTCCTGCCACCGCCTCTGCACTCGCCAACCATGAGCCCGGCTTCTGGTTGAGCGGCACTCCCCCTATGGGAGAACACTGACCATAGGGGGCAGCTCCTCCATTGAGCATCTGGCCCCTGGTTGTCAGTACACATCATAGTGACTGGTCGTTCCGCCCTTCGGTCAATTTGCATATTAGCCTTTTATTATATAGGATAGAGTTCAGAATGATGGTAAAAATGCTCAACAGCATGAGAAAAGATATTGTAAATATGAAAATGGAAATAAAGAATGACATAGCACAAATAAAGAACACATTGGAAGGAAATCACAGCAGATTAAGGGAAGCTGAGGATTATATCAGTGAATTAGAAGACAGGGTAGAAAAAAATCACTCAACCAGAGAACCAAAAAGAAAAAGCAATGAAAAAAACAGACAGACAGCTTAAGGAATCTGTGGGACAACATGAAACATAGCAATATTTGCATAGTAGAGTTACCAGAAGAGGCAGAAAGGGAGATAAGGCCAGAAAACGTGTTTGAAGAAATAATGGCAAAAAATTTCCCTAACCTGCTGAAGGAAAAAGTCACACAAGTTCAGGAGGCACAGAGAGTCCCAAGCAAGAACACACAAGCAAGCCCATGCCCAGACACATCATAATTAAATTCTCAAAAATTAACGACAAAGAGAGAATCTAAAGGCAGAGGAGAAAAGCAATTTGTTACCTACAAAGGAGCTCCAATAAGGCTATCATCTGATCTCTCATCAGAAACTTTACAGACCAGAAGGAAATGGCATGACGTTTTCAAGGTCATGGAAAGCAAGGATCTGAAACCAAGATTACTATATCCAGCAAAGCTATTATTCAAAATAGACTGTGAAATAAAGATCTTCCCAGACAAAAAATAGGCTAAAGGAGTTCATCACCACTAACCCAGCATTACAAGACATAATAAAGGGACTGCTATAATGAGAAGAAATAGAGAGAGAAACCTAGGTATACAGAATTAATATGGCAATAAATATGTACCTATTCTATAAAATAAAGAGCTAATATGCTAATTAGTGGTTGTTCCAGACAGTGGAACAACCTTCTGGACTATCTTCCAGAATGACCAGTGGGCAGGGCCATGGGGGGCTGAGGCAGCGGGGGATCTGAGGGCTGAGGCAGCTGGGGCTGCGAGGGCTGAGCCCCTTGCACGAATTTCTTGCATCAGGCCTCTAGTCAATAATAATTTTAAATGTAAATGCTCCAGTCAAAAGACATAGGGTAGCTGAATGGATACAAAAACCTCAGAACAAAAGACTCACACAGGATAAGAGTGAAGGGATGAAAAATTTTTTTTCCATGCAAATGAAAACGATAGCTGGTATAGTAATGCTCATATCTAACAAAATAGACTTACAAATGAAGCCATCACAAGAGACAACAAAGGTCACTACATAATACTAAAGGAATAGATCCAACAAGAGGATATAACCCTGGTAAACATAGATGCATCCTATATAGGAGCGCCTAAACATATAGAAAAAAACTCTAGAGGACTTTAAGGGAGAGATTAACAACAATACCGTCATAGTAGGGGACTTTTGCACCCAACGGACTTCACTAGATAGATATTCCAGAACAAAAATTAACAAGTAAATAGTGACTCTAAAGGACTCACTGGATCATATGGACTTAATTAATACTTATAGAACATTTCACTCCAAAGCTGCAGAATATATATTCTTCTCAAGTGCCCATGGGTGATTCTGATTCTTAAAGATAGACCACTAAGACAGGACAGAAAGTAAGTCTCTACAAGTTCAACAAGATTAAAATCATATCAAGCATCTTCTCAGATCATAGTGAAATAGAATTAGAAATCAACTATAGTAAAAACACTCAAAAACATTCAATCACATGGAGGCTAAATAGCATGTTATTAAACAATGAATGGGCTACCGATGAGATCAAGAAAGAACCCAAAAACTTCCTGGAAACAAATGAAAATGAACACACAATAACACCAAATCTGTGGGACACAGCAAAAGCAGTCCTGAGAGGAAAGTTCATAGCACAACAGGCCTGTCAGGTCCCCTCTCCATGGAACAGTGCAGACCCAATACAGAGATAGTGGCCACTAGAATGTCTTAACAAAACCATCTTTATTCATAATTGACACACAGTGCCCCAAAGGTGCTGCTCCTACCCCCAAACCCAGGCCCACCCCCACCCTAACGGTCCTGCCTTCCATCCCTATTTCTCATGTGAGTAGAACAGCCAGGATCATCCCTGGGGTCAGCCAGGAACTTCCCTGGGATCAGGAGCAGCCCTTGGTTCCACTGGGGGACAGCCAGGTCACAGGAAGCATGCCCCACAGGTGGCTGGCAGTGGGAGAGACATCCACTGCTCCCTACTGGCTGCAGTGTCACTTATTACTCTTCCCTGTGACAGCCAGGTCACACTTTTTCTTTTGAGGCCGTGAGGTGCAAACCAGCTCCAGAGCCAGTGCTGGCATCCCACAGATCCCCAGGTTGGCCCCCGGGCAGGGGGTCTTCTCAGCATGGGCGGGGCCTCCCGCCAGAGCACGCTTCCGAGATTTGGAAGCTGCAGGTGAAGCTCGGGTGAGACCTAGTGTTTGAAAAAACTGGGATTGGGCAGCTCCCCGGGGCCCCCGACCTCCAGGGCAGGCAAGGCCTGAGGCAGGGACAGGACTCAGAGAGAGCCCACAGGGCAACAGGCTATTAGGAGAGCCCAAGAGGAAGGCCAAGCTGGGGAGGTCCTCCTCATCCTCACTGGACCTGTCTGGCTCAAGAGTCTCTCTGACAAGAGAGGCCTCTCTGGGGATGCAGGCCTCCCTGGGGCCCAGTGCACAGTAAGCAGGCCCGTAGCCCTGGGGAGCAGAGGGGGGGCACTGAGCCCAGAGTGGTGGGTGCTCCTGACGCCCCGCAGAGATATCAGAAGCCTGGGGCCTGGACTGGTGGGCGTCTGCTGGGCCGCGCCTTTGCTGGTCCTTGAAGTCAGTCTCTGGTGGGCAGGCTTTGTCACTGACCCCCAGCTGGGGGCCACGGTCATGCCTCTGGGCATCTTGGCCGATCTCAGACTCAGAAGAACTTGAGTTCAACAGGGGAGCACCGTGACTTGAGGGTGCCTGCACGCCCCCCTCCTTGGAGGCCAGGAGTCGCTTCTCTACCAGCTGGGAGGAAGAAGGGACAGTGAGCTGGCGCTGCACACGTGTGTGAGAGGAGGAGGAATATGGGTGATGGGACAATAGCACTGGGGGGAGGTGGGGGCAGGTGACACCATGACTTAAATCCATGACAGCTACGTGGGTCTCCTCCGTCCCCTGTGCCATATTCCCAGCTTAGTATCACCTCCCCTTCTGGGCTCCCAGCCCCTCCTCTCTGTTGTCCTCTTCTTCTTGTTGTCTTGCCCTGCTCCCACCCAGAGCTGGCCCCTCGGTGCCTACAGGCAGGGGTGGCATGGACAGAGGCCTGTGGGTCCTGGTTCTGGGTTGCTCCCTGCCCTGGTTTACCCGAGTGCACCCTCCCCTGGCTCCCCTGAACCCCCAATCTACCTGGAGCTCCTCCCTCCTGGAGCCAGTCCCTCCTCTAACTATCCTGGGGTCTCTGGGTCCTATGGCTCACTTGGAGTCCCCCTTCCATCTCCCTAAGGTTCCACCCTCCCCTGGCTCACCTGGGCAGCAGTGAGCCCCTCTTCCTGCTCCAATTCCTCAGCTAGGGCCAAGGGATCCTGCTGTGCATCTTGGGAAATTATTTGTTCCATGAATTGGGGGTGAATGACCGCCTCCACCTGGGACAGAATGAAACGGCCATGAGCCCCTTGGCAGGGAGCGAACTGTGAGTCAGCGGGGCCTGGAGCACAAGTGGGAAAGCCAAGACCCACCCGTCCTCTTGCTCAGGCGGGTGTTTTACTCCATGATGATCATCAGGTGCACACACACACGCACATACACACACACACAAACACATACATGCACACACACACACAGGGCACACCCACATGAACACAGATAGCACATACCACACAAAGCACACACATGCACAGACACACACATTCTCAAGCACCCAGCTCAGGAACAAAGAGCAGAGCCCAATCCCATCAGCCTGGGAGAACCCGGGTCTGGGTGCTGCAGCGCCTCCCTCTGGGACCTTATAGACCCGGAGCTGCCAGCCAGCCCACCTGGGTGACAAAGTCTTCCTGGGAGCACAGCTGGTCCAGGTAGCTCAGGAGATCCTTGTCTTGCAGCCACTCCTTTTCTTCATCTTCCCATCCTCCACCGGGCGCCTCTGTGGCTGAGTGCGGCAGTCCCAGCAGATTGTCCATGATGTCCATGTACTCTCTCACGGCCTCCGGGGGGATCTCATTGGGGGACTTTGTCTCCTGGGGCTGTTGGTGTCTTCGAATGTACTGGGCACTGGGTAAGGCCTTCCTGGGAGTGCGCGCTGGGCAGAGAGGGAAGAGGAGGGAGCGTGAGGGGGTAAAGCTCCCACCTCAGGAGCATGCGATGCTGAGGGCAGTGTTGGGGGCATTAATACGGGTGCGGCTGGGTCGGGGTCACCTAAAGCCTGGTGACTATAGTATGTGAGGAGAGAGGACAGGGACAGTATCCAAAAGAGTCATGGGTGAGTACGTGCGGAGCCACCGAATCTCCAAGGGGCCCCGCAGCCAGCCTGCTTCTCAGCAGACTTCATGTGGGGCCTTTGACAGGGAGCAGGGAAAGGGGATGAGAAAGTGGACCAGGTCCAGACCCCATGGTGACAAAGAACCAGAGGCCCGGCTCTCAGGGCTGTTTCCCTTGAAAGACCAAAGCCCCCTGAAGGAGAAGGGCCCATGTGGGTGGGACAGTGGCCTGCCCTAAGCCCTTTGGCCATGGGCTCCCCTGGGAGTGTGGTGGCCTACCTGGCTCCCCGCCCACCGCTGGGGCTGGAGTGGGGTGGGGCTGTCAGGGCCGGACACTGGGGAGGCAGGAGGCTGGCTGAGCACATTCCTGCACAGCCCCTCTGGCTGGAGTCTGCCCACGGGGCGGGGCACCTTCTCCCCAGCCTTTCCTGAGCCTTCATGTCCAGCCCAGGATGGGTTAGCGTCAGAGGAAGCGGGAGCTCCCGGGAGGTGGGACAGAAGCACCCACGCTCTGAAGCTGAGGGAGAGGCTTCCCCAGGAGAGAAGGGCCTCTGGGCTGCGGGGACCCCGTGCTGAGTGACACCCTCCCACCACTCTCCTCTCTGCTGAGACCTCACAGTTGGACCCTGCCCCTCAGGCAGCCCCCTACACACACAGCTGTGGGGACCAAGGACCCTGACTCACTTTTCTGCCATCTCATAATAGATCATCCGGTCAAAGTTGCTCTTGCGCTGCCATTCCTGCATGGCCCGCCACATTCCCTCCTCCAGCGTCATGGTGGGCCTCAGGCGGGACAGGGACCGGAGCACCGGGCTGCAATGCCTCAGGGTCAGTCATGGCTGCAGGCTGGCCTCCACCTGCCTGCCCACCCCAGCTCAGCGGAGCCAGGTTCCCACCCCCACCCGGCAGGACTGAGCACCTCAGGTGACGGAGGAGGCGTCTGTGTGCAAAGACAAGCCTTCCAGCTGCTGTGGTCATGGTAGAATTGTCCGGTCATGAGGGGCCTGAGGGCGGGAGGAGCTGCCTCTCATGGTTACATCTCCAGGAGGAGGATTGGGACTCAGGGCGGTGAGCTCAGTTGTGGTAAAACACAAGTGAGGAAGCCATACATTTGGCGGGTGATGCGTGTGGCTAAGAATGTGCCTTCTGAGAGCAGGGACCCCACCCTCAACCTTCCCGCCAGCGTCCGGGATCGGCCAGACTGCAGGTCCCTGCCAGCTCCTCTTTGAGTGAAAGCTCCAGGCGCCCCCTGCCCTGCCCAGGGCACTCACATGAGGAAGCAGGACAGAGCTTCAGCATCAGGACTCTGGGGAAGGTGCCTCCGGGCCAGGGCCTTGAAGCGCTGCCAACGTCGGAAATTTTTGTACACACTGTTGGGGTTGCAGGAGTCATCCGGCGAGGTCTTGGTCTGGGAGGTGGCCAGGCCACCCTTCCTCGAAGCCCCAGCATTCACTGAGGGGACGATGGGGGCCAGCTGGGCAGCTGATGGTGGAGCTTGAGGAGGAAGGCTGGGACACCAGCCTCCATCGCCGGCCTGGGTGCCCCCAAAAGCCGAGGCGGGCATAATCGTCTCCACCGCAGAGGCTTCCAAGAAGAGGGGTGCAGGACACACAGCACCCCCACAGATGGCACCTGGAGCACTCCCGTTGAGGGGGGCCTGAGTCAGGACAATGGTCTGAGTCTGGGAGGGCTGTGGTCGTCCCCCTTCTGACCTGACCTGGTCCATGATGTTAAAAGCCCCAGGCCCAGCGGGGCCTTGACCAGCATCTCCTGCCACCAGAGGTGTCCTGGGCAAATTGGGCAGCACCAGGGGGCGTCCAGGAGGGAATGATGGGGCCCTGAGGGGCAGCAGGTGCTGCTCCCCAGGTGGCTGGTGGGCGGGGCCAGTAGTGGGCTGGGGAAAGGGCTGTGCCATGAAAGGAGTCATGGAGGCGCCAGGCTTCAGGGTTACATCCGCTCCCAGCACTGCAGATGCTGTTGAGACAAAGGAAAGGGTGAAGGGAGGAGGAGAACCAGCAAACAGCACTGAGGCGCTCTGGGTCCCCTGTAGCCACTGGGGAATCAGAGCAGTGAGTCTCCCAGGGGAGGGCCATTGGGATGGGCAAACTGCGGAGGTGGCACATGTCCTCAGGCCATTGGCACATGTCCTCAGGTCATTGACCTCCAGTTGGGATTTATTCCACTAGAGAGGTTGCTTCCCATCGCCAAGGCTCCCTGACCACTGTGTGCGAGAAGAAATGGCCCCAGCCAGCAATGACCCTGAGAGCCGCCCTAAGGATTCCCTGGCACCGACCCTCCCAGCCTCAGGGCATGGCCCTGGGCAGAAATCTGTTCTGGGAGAAATGACCCCAGGGAGACCCACTCCAGTAGTGACCTTCTCCAAGTTAAGTTCTAGGCACCCAAAGGGCCTCTGAGAACAGGCCGTGTCTAAAATATTAGGGCCCCATCTGCTCCTCAGTCTTCCCTTTTCTCAATAAATCACCCCCTTTCTGTCCTGGGCTTGCACAACAACACAGAAACACTTGAGTAATGTCTCTCCACAAGAAGGCACAGGGACCCTGATCTGACCCTTGAACGCACTGACCAGCATGCACATGTGTGTCAGAACCAACAGTGGACACTCAACACGGGCCAGGTCCTGCCACTCGGCCCCAACGCTCAGACCAGTGATGACGAACCTGTGACACGCGTGTCAGAGGTGACACGCGAACTCATTTTTTTGATTGATTTTTTTTTGTTAAATGGCATTTAAATATATAAAATAAATATCAAAAATATGTCTTTGTTTTACTATGTTTGCAAATATCAAAAAGTTTCTATATGTGACACGGCACCAGAGTTAAGTTAGGGTTTTTCAAAATGCTGGCACGCTGAGCTCAAAAGGTTCACTATCACTGACTCCAACTAATGGCCCCTCAGAAGCTTGTGATTTCATAGCCAGCAATGGCTGCAGAGGGTTAAAGAGCAGAGCCACGGAATGGGTCAAAGTGGGGCTGTCAGTAGAGGTTTCCAGAAACTTCCATAGCTGCTGTCCTGTTAGATGGGTCATGGGACTGCAGACTGTGTGAGGTCCTTCCCCTTCCAGCTCCCAACAGTGGAAAGTGAAGGCCCAGTAGGAAGCAGGTGTGAGCCGGTGACAGTGGGACACAGTTGTCTGAACACATCTCCACTCAGAGGAACTCGAGCAGACCTAGTCCAGGAGAGCACCCTGCACACTGCGTGCCCCTAATTCCTCAGGACAGGCGGCCTCGGAGGTTTCCTACTGACACAGACCATGGTCTTCCTGCCCCTGTGCACTCCCCTTCCCCCTTAAAAATGAATCCACCTTCGCAGACGTTCCATGGGACACCACCCAGGTTCCACACCTGTTTTCTGTCCCTGAAACAGGGACGTGGCCTATGAGCAAATCTGTGGAAAGTGAAGGCCCAGTAGGAAGCAGGTGTGAGCTGGTGACAGTGGGACACAGTTGTCTGAACACATCCCCGCTCAGAGGAACTCAAGCAGACCTAGTCCAGGAGAGCACGCTGCACACCGCGTGCCCCTAATTCCTCAAGACAGGAGGCCTTGGACGTTTACTACTGAAACAGACCATGGTCTTCCTGCCCCTGTGCACTCCCCTTCCCCCTTTAAAAAGGAATCCATCTTCACAGATGTTCCACAGACACCACCCACACTCCACACCTGTTTTCTGTCCCTGAAGCAGGGACGTGGACTATGAGCAAACCTCTCATCTCAAAGGTAAAGGGCAGGGCAGAGGGTGCACCATAAGATGCTCAACAAGAGGAAGTTGGTCTGAAGACCTGGGTGGCCACAGGGGGCACAATTCGGGACAGCTCAGGGAACCAGGCCCTCTCTTGGTGGAAGTTACTGGGCTGCCCACCCCTGTGGAATCCAAGCCAACAAGCAGCTCCCTGGGCTGAGGAGGAGCGAGCTCTGGGCCAGAAGCAGGGGAGAAGCTCTGGGCTGCAGCAGTTGGAGGATCTTCCAGCCCAGCCCTCGGGAAGGACATTTCATTGTGGACTTGGCCACAGACAGCCCCACTGGACAGCTTTCTGGCTAAGACCCTCCCACAGCCCCCACTAGCTGTAGTGAACTCAGGTCAAGTCCCTTAGAAAGATACTGCGGGGCCAGCTCCAGGTGCCCGAAGAACAACACACAGGACTAGCCTTTCCTGTGACCCTCCCTGTGCCACCCCCACGACATCGCCCACTGCTCCCCCCCACACGTGGGAGTGGCTTGTCTCCCCTCTGGGAAGAACCCACATGCCTGCTGCCACCCAGGCATTTCCCTGAGCCACCCTGTCCTACCTCCAGGAGCCCTCCTCCCAGTGCCCTCACAGGTTCCCATGGGCTCCCAGTCTCCCCAGGTGACAGGTCCTTGAGGTCCAGTGCTCTCTCCCTCCCCTACTTCAGTCAAACCGAGTTTCTCCAGGGTCACAGTTTAACCCCAAGTTTTGAGGGACAGCTCCGTGTTTAAAACATCCCCCCTCCAATCTATAGTCTTACCTCCTACTGAAGCCATCCCCGCAGCCTCATTCACCGACCACCGCTGCCTAGTAGCCTCCAAAACGAGAAAAGTCAAGTTGAGGATCCAAAGAGTGAGCTGCTCCAACAGCTGCTCAGCATCCAGTGGAGGGAAGGTTTGGATTTGAACTGTAGAATGTAGGCTCCAGACATTCTGCAGCGGGGGAGGGGCCGAGGACCGGTGGGCCGGGGTGGGTGGGGATGGGGGACATTCCATGGAGGGCTCTGATAGGTAGGCAAGACCCCGCAGCTCCTTTCAAATTTAAGAGGCAACACAATTGGTGTGTGCCTCTTAGGCACTGCATACTTTGATGTTTTTAGATTCACAGCACAAAGTCTTTACCTGATGTGCCCTTATCTCCTTTCTTGATCCATCGCCCTAGTTTTGGGTCCCTCAACCTGTTTCCTTTCTGGTCTTGGTTGACTTCAACACAGGCTACACTTTCTGAACAAAATTCAGACCATACAGCCTGAAAAAATATTGGGAATTTATGGCCGCACGGAACCCAGTGTTTGAAATTAGGACTGACCCAGCAGAGGCAGCATGCTCGGTGGCTGTGTGCACATCATTCCTCAGGAAGCAGTCCTGTGGCCCCAAGTGCCGCCCAGTGCTGGGAGCCCTGCAGATGCAGCCAGCCCAGCCTTACAAACCATCCCCTTTGCTCCAGTTCATCAGGGCAAGGCCCTGCAACCTACAGGGCAAGACCAGAAATCACTACTTTTTGTCTCTCAGAGTTTTATGTTCAATGTTTAATTGTTAACCTTTGATTTCAATAATGTTTAATAATGATTTTAATAATGTTTTAAACAAGTTATGCCTTTGCATCGTTCACAGTCAAATTGTGCAAAACGGAAAATGCAGTGAGGAGTCTCTCCTGCTTCCTGCCCCTCCGAGCACAGTCTTCCAAAGGACGCCAATGTTGTCTGTTTCCTTTCAATCTCCCCAGAGATGTATCATGCAACCGAAAACAAATGCATGCTATTTTCATTTTTACAAAACGCTCTCGGCTTTTTCTTCTGGTTAAAAATTAATACATGTTCCAATATATTTATTTTATATGTAATATTATTTATATATACTACAATGATTGTCTTTGTACTGGTAACATGGTTCCTCTTTATTTCTGGAGGCTAGATTCTTAGAACAAGAAGTTCTACAGTCCCTTAAAATTCAAAGTACATGAAAGAATAGGTGGCCAGATTTAGCAAATAATGGATGCACACTTGAACTTGATTTTAAGATGCACAATGAATTAGTTTTTAGGGAAATTGTGTCCCATGCAAGATTTGGGACATGCCTCTACTGTAAATTTGTTTGCTGTTTTCTGAAATTTAAATTTAACTGGTATCCTGTGTTTATCTGGCAACTCTATCAAACAAGTAACTTATTAGGCTATTATTAGTTACTCACCTCTGTAAGAAGAACTCCGAATAAAGAGACTCAAGTGTGCATCTTGGCTTCACCACAAAACACAATTGCACATACACGTGACATATGCACACTCTTTGGAGGATGTAGAATTTGTGAGAGCCATCTAGGCTCAGTGGGGTTAAGGATAGAAATAACAGACAGGAAGACAAAAATTCTGCTTTCACGGGTTAATGGGGTTAACACCCTAAGGTCCCGATTTTCTGGGTGTTAAAATGCACTACACATGAGGTGGATGTGCACTTTGAGAGGAAGCCAGAATTCTATTCACCATGTCCAACCCCCATTCATAAAAATCTATACCCACCTAAGTCCTAGCTTGCCAGTGTGAGCCTAGACACCCTGCTCATTGGTTTCCAAATGGTCTCTTTGCATCATATACCCTTGCTCTTTGGAATCTAGGCTCATGTGAATCATGGTCACACCCCTTGAAACACTTGGTGGTTCTCATTTTCATATTGTGCACAAATGTCAGTTTATCACTATCCAAATGATATGAACAAGCATTTGTGTTTTGTGAGAGAAGAGGATTGTTAGGAAATTATTAAGGGAGATGAGGGGTCACAACTTTGGAGGATTTCAACTAGATCTCTTGGGAGTCAATCTTCACTCCCGCTATAGCAGTAGAATTCCTACTGATGGTAGGGTGTTAGGGAAGAGAGGCGAGGCTTAGAAGGTAGTTCCACACCATGAAAATTCATTAAAAAAGAACCCTCCTGTTGGCACTTAAGAAGTTCCTCGCTGCCTGCAAGAAAAAATTGACTCAAAAGAAGCTGAGATGAGATAAGAGCAATTCAAGAAAATTTATGGTGGACTTTATTTCAAAAAAAAAAAACAAAACAAACTACTGGGGATTGAAAAAAAGGAACAACTTGAAAATATTTATCAGGATTTGAGCTTTCATCTTGGAGGTAACCTTAAATGACTTTCAACCAATAACTTTATATTAGAGGGATGGTGAGGAAACTATGGTCCTCAGTTACTCAGAAAAGGCGGCTTCCTTGTTGCTTCTTCCCCT